TCTTACTCCCAGGGAATCAGTGCCTCCTCCTCAATACCTTGTGAGATCCCTCTCCTTGAGCTTCCCTTGCCTTCCAGGGGGTAATATACCAGAATGCTCAAAATTGACCATGCGTCATTCCCAGTCTGCTTCTCAGGTCAAGAAGTTGAAGAGAATTTAAAGTGTAAATATCGGGTGTTTGTCTACATGAGGATTGCTCAACCTAGACAATATCGTCACTTTTTGGCCATATTACTTTTTGTGTTGCAGGGAACTGGTTTATGTATTGTTAGATGTGTAGCAGTGTCCCTGGCCTCTGGTTAACTCTCTCTGCTTATATCCTCCATGTGCCTCCAATCTATTTGACACAGACCTTTCAGGTTAACATTTCCAAACAGTAACTCAAACTTAGTGGTTCTCAATGGTAAGCAACCTCCCCTCACACCAGGGGACATTTGGCAATGTCTAGTGATATTTCTGGTTTTCACAACTTGGTGGGGGGGAAAAATAAGTTGCTATAGACACCTAGTAGGTAGAAGTCAGGGTGTTATAAGGTACAGGAAAACCGCCCCATGTCCCTGCCTCCCACACCTAATAAATGTCCAACCTAAAATGTCAGTAGCACCAAGGTTGAGAAACGTTGCTCTAGCATATCGTTCCCTGCTCAGAAACTTTCCATTGTTTCCCACTGCTTGTTGGAAAGATGACAGATTTTGTGGCCTCTCCTGATGTATATTTAGTTTATTATTTTGCCAGCTATAGTCCTTTTTGGAAACAGCTCTGAAAGTTATGCTGTCTCTGAAACATGTCATGTGCTTTCTCACTCACATAACTTTACTCATGCCAACCACTCCCTCTGCCTAGAATGCCCACTTCCCACTACTACAGCCAAGTTGAAATGTAGGATCTACAAAGACTTACCTGAGCTCACATTTTCCCAGCTGTGGATAATTCTTCATTCCCTGGATATTCCTATAGTATTTTACACATATATCTCTTAAAGCACTTATCATATTCACGGTACCATAGAAAATTTGAACTGGAAGGGGCTTTTAGAATTCTCTTCAGTAAATCCTTCCACTAAAAGTAAAGGAAACTGAGGTTCAGAAAAGTGAAGTGATTGGCTGAAGGCATTGTACATTCTCGTAAGACTTGGACTATAGTAATTTGTGTCCTTGGTGTTATTCTCTCAGTGTGGTTGAAATGGGTGATTATGAGCTTTGAGTTAGTTCTGGCAGTCAAATTGCAATTTGGACACTTATAAGTGGGCCAAGTCATTTACCTTTCTGAAATTCAGTTCCCTGAGTAGTAAATGAAAATAATCATGGCTGCTGTGAGAATTAAATGAGACTGTGTATTAAAAATGCCTAGCATATAGTCAGTACTCAATACATATTTGTCAGATGAAAATAATGATCAATAGTAGTTTAAATAATGGGATTTAGGAACCGATGATGGTCCATGGGATCATCACTACATAAAGGGGGACTTCACTAAGAGGCAGAACTAGAGCAAAATATGGCAACTCATTGACACCTGCTCCCTACTTTTGCACCCTTCTGTAGAAGGTTTCCTCAGTAGGCCATCAGACCAGCATGCAAGTTTTCTGTGGAGTTACTGAGTGCTGACAATGGCTTTCCAAGTGGCAAGGTAGTTCTTAAAAGGTCTGCTTTTTCTTTTTATTTTACAATGCCAATGATATAATCTCTTTCTTTCCTCTGGTAGATAACAGGTAGAGTTGTGGAGGGATATGAATGGAAGATGTATTTCCTCTCTTTCTCCTTAGTTTCCTTCATGACAGCAGCCTGGGGCTTAGATGCATTTAGAGGTCTAACAGGAATCTTTGCGAGAGGGAATTCACAAGGCACTTGAGGTGGCAATGGGAGCACTTTAGTATTGGCTTCTAGCCCAGTGATACCTGGTTCTGACTTCAGTGAGGCCTATTGGAGCCTTTCTAGTCAGCTCTTCACTTTGGAGCCGACCAATCTGTCAGTTTTGCCTAGGGCTTTGGAGTAATGGCATGCTATGCATTTATTCTCTTCATTCAGAGAAATGAGTCTTTCCCTGATCCTAGGGTGCATGTACCTAACAGAAACATCCTTCCTACTCAAATGAGGAGATGACCTGACAGGCAACTGAAGAAATAGAAAGAGATTTTCTGATGCCTTGTCTAGACTACATTTGGAGTAAGCTGGGGAGGATGAAGTTGCTTGGCAATGGGCCCACCCACAGCTGGCGCTCTTCTGCTCTGCCAGGTGAGTACAGATTTTTGTTGGAGGAGTTAGAAGAGAAGCTCGGGTGAGTCTATTACAATTTGATTTAGAAGGCGCCTCCTTAGGGCTTACAGGTGAAAGGCCCTGTAAGTGGAAAATACTTTCAGGTGTAATGAAAAAGTCTGCAGAGAGCAGAGCACTGGATTGGGAGTAAAAAGATTTGGCCTGGATTTCTGCCTCTACCTCTCTGCTTCTGAGAGTGTTCCCAGGGCTATCACCAGAGCCTCATACTATAGTTTGTGAAGTGGGTGCAATAAAGTCTGCAGTCTTCCTTCCTCCCAGTGATGGCAGAAGTTGAAGGTTTTCCAGTCTCTAGAGTTTTCACTCTGTGAATTTCAAAACATTGTTCAAAACTGCCTGCTTTGAATATGTGAACAAGGGTGTGTGTGTGTGTGTGTGTGTGTGTCTCCGTGTGTGTGTCTAGGGGGAGGAACAACAATGAACGGATACAGCTCTATAGGCTGCTTGTCTCTATATGGTATTCTTCAGTTTACTGTCTTCAGAATTCACCATTGTTCATGTTTAGACTACTTTGGAGATAATTGAGCTCCTTTCTCAAAGCAGGCTTCTCTTTCAAATTTGCCTTCTCTCTGAGGTTTGCACTATTTTCACAGCTGCTGTAATTGGGCTTTTACCATGATTTTGGGTGGGACCATAGGCGTTCTGGAACTTATGTGACTGCCCAGGTCTCTTGGTAAAGTACTATTTCCTCTAAAGGACTGTAACACTTGACACTGATCATAATAGGGGATAAGGGATCCATTCATCCATTTAAGTAGAGAGGAAGGATACACGGCACTATGAGTCTCTGATGTTGGAAGTTGACTTAGAAAGGTCAGGGAAAACTTCACTGAAGAGTTAATGATTAAGTTGAGTTCTAAAGAATTATTAAACGTTGACTAAGTAAAGAGAGTAGTGGAAAGTATAGGTGTACACGTGTACATGCAGTAAATATTTTAGACAAAGGAAACAGAATGCGCATAAGCCTTAAGGGATCAGGGCACATTCCACAAAGAAATAAAATACTGTATTTGCTGGTTTTACAACTTTAATTCAAAATTTAAGCCATAATTTTAGGTGTTAAGGGTTGAAAATGCCAATGTACTCCACTTTGAAGTACTGTTAGGCTAAATCACACATACTGAAATGGTACCCACTGTGGATGGAGCACATGAATGTATAATCTAGAAAAGAAACAAATGCATCTGTACTATTGAGCCAACAATCTGGAAGAGAAAAAAGGGCAGATAAAAAAAATGGGAAATTGAAATCTTTTTCTCAATATTTTGTCCAGCAGGCATACTTGTGTATGGAGTATACAGATACATTCCTGGAGGGCTACTTGGTTGAGGTGACTTGAGCCCACTGCAGTGAATTAAGGGAGGGCTCAAAGCAGGTGCCAAGTTCTGGATGTGTTCTGAGGAAGATATAAATTGGTGAATAAGACAAGAGAAGATGTTTCTGGCAGGAGAAGCAGCATGAGACATGACTTGGTGGTTGACTATTTTATTTCTGAGATGGGAAATTTGGTGATAAATTAGAGTGGCCTGAATGGGAAAGCAAAGCAGCCTAGCTTGTGGCCATCTTAGACTCTTTCTATGACACACAAACTAATCAATTAAAAGCAGTAAACCTCACTGAATACTATGGGAAAATAAATAATTGGTTATTTGAATTTAGCCTTTTAAAAATAAATGATCATACAGATCAATCTTGACATCCTCCTCTGACTGTAGTCAGGATTAACTTTCTTCAAGACTTAGAGGTAGGTGAAAGTTGCTGACTACCCCTCTTTTCAGGGCCTCTCTGCAATTTTGTATCATTGGGATGCTACTATAATTTTTGGAGTCCTGTTTGCTTAAGCACTTTATTTTAGCAGTTAGTTACTTTGATACCTTGGGAAATAATAGCTCTTGTTTCTCTAGGCATTGACATTTTCTGAAGGATGCTAAAAAGTCACAAATCTTTCAGACAAAGGAATCTGTCTCTGATGGAATAGCAGCTGGCGGGGTGGATATTTTTTTTAGCAGGTAACCTTTTCTATTACCTTTTAAAGGGAAAACTACCTGCTTTGAAGCTTGTCTTTGATTCCAATGCATATTTCTTTCGTAGTTGTTGAAAGACTAGACATGTTGTAAGAGGGAATTGATTTTATTTTACCTGTCTAATCTCCTGATGATGTGACTTATTGCAACCAGCCCATGTACAGTATTCTATCACTGTGGTTAAAAGTGTGGAGTTTTGGAGTCATCATGAGTCAGCATTTATATCTTTACCACCTGCCGGCTGTGTGGTTTTCAGTTACCTCATCTTCTGTAGCTGTGTGTGCCTCAGTTGCCTCTTCCTTTGTAAAACAGGGATAATAAGACTACCTATCTCATATAATTACTGTAATGATTAATGAGGTATATGTTTAAAGAGCTTAGCATAATGCTTGACATCTTATCAAGTTGTTCTTGTCATCATTGTCATTAACATTGCCACCCATACCACCCCCAGGCTCTTACTCTAACGAAAAATAAAATCTTACAACCTCTTGATAAGGCAAAGTTCAGCAGTTAGCACAGAAGGAAAGAAGAAAATAGGAAGCCCAGGGGCATTCACCATTTCCTATTCTAACCCTAATTATAGCATCCCAAACAGAATGTATAAAAACTGTACTTTCTGGAATCATTTCTGTAGTTACTTACCAAAGAAAAAATATGAGAAAACAACCCCATCCTCATGTATCTGTCCCTGTTCTCACAGGTACCTGTCGGCTTGGCTGGGCCTATTACTGTGCTGGAGGTGGAGCAGCTGCAGCCATGTTGATCTGTACCTGGCTCTCTTGCTTTGCTGGAAGAAACCCCAAGCCTGTCATGTTGGTGGAGAGCATGAGGAATACCAATTCTTATGCTATGGAGCTTGACCGCTGCCTCAAACCTTGAGCTTTGAAAGAAGATTGGAGAGGGTGGGAAGGGGGAGGAAAGAGAGACCTGAAAACATGTATTAAAGATTAGGCCATTTGTCATCTGACTGCCAGAAGTATAGCCTAGTGTTTGCATGCTTTTTAACGTAATTGTCATTCATTTTCACATATCTTTAAGCCAGTAGGTCACTGGCTGTTTATAAAATTCATCTAGAGCAAACATTCTCAGACACTTACCCAGCTGGTGAGTACCTGCCAACCCAAAGACTCAAAGTACTCCTTTATGCAAAATAGGATCTAAAGCTAAGGCTGGGTAAGAATCGTTGTGCAGAGAGGGAGCACGAGATGGGTAGAGCTGGTTCCTACCACTCCAATCACACAGCTCATTCCGTCATTTATTGCCACCCCCAAACATCTCTGGAGTACCACTGCTCAATTCTTGTGATACTATCAGGAGTATACCTTGACTCTTTTTTTCTCCTGCTTTTCTTCCCTCCCCCCACCCCCCGTTGTGGGGAAGCTTGGGGGAGGGTGACTCCCAGTGGGGAAAACATTAATCAAGAATGCTTGCGTTTAGCTTGGAGCCTCTTCCTCATTATGCTTTAGAATATTCATAGGAGTTCACTTTGTATTCTGGCTGGGTGATGAGCAAAAAATATATAGTAGCAAATATTCCCTAATCCTTTAGCGATACAGAAATAGTGTTCATAAAATGTTGTGAGAATAGACTAGCGTTTGTGGGGCACTCAATAGATTTAAATTCATGGTGTCAGTGACAAGGATGTTTCTGCTAGATACTTATTGAAATTTCCATCAGAGTTCATTTTTATTGACTAGGAAATCCACGGTGGCCTTTTACCCCCTATAGTCAGTCCTAATGTGACACAAGTTCATCTGCCTGTTTCAAAGACTGTTCGTCAAATGATCTCTCCTCCGTCTGGGGTGAGTTAGCCACAAAAGAACACAGCCCTGATGTCACCTAGGGCTGATGTATTTTTAGGCCTGGACTCCACCCAATCTGTGCTTAAGGTTGATGGATAGTGTAGAACTTGGTGTCTCCTGGGGGCAGAATTTGTCTCACTCCTCCCCTCCACCCCAGTTAATTCAGGCCAGCTCTATTGTTCCATAACTACAGCTTTAGAATGGGGAGGGCCTGTGGTTCAAAAGGCCAGCTCATCTGTTTCTATTATTAATCATTCCAGCATGGTTTTGGTACAGCCCTACCTAGAAGGATAGAAATAGAAAAAATGGGCTTCATAAGTTATATGCCATCCCAGGAGGAGTCAGAGTTCTTATATTGGCTTTACATAGGTAAGTGAATTTAAATGATTCCTCCATTTATAGTTGATTCATTCATTGAATCACTCATTCAGAAAACATTTCTTCAGTATGTTACTGTATGACACATTCTGTGCCATTTTATCCTGGGGAGTAAAAGGACAAAGGCAGTTTCTCACCTTAAAAGGGATAGTGATGAGGTATTGAGAGACATGTCAAAAAGTACTTGTCAGCGTATTAAGTGCTAGAAAAGTGAAGAAGAGTAGCTAAAGGATCACAGAGAAGCCATTAAACCAACTTGGAGTGAAGGGGTTCATGGGAAAGCATTCTAGCAAAAAAGATACCTAAGATGGGTCTGAGAGATGAATAGCAGGAGCTTTGCCAGCAAAGGTAAAGAGTGCATGAGACAAGCAGTGATGGCAGCCAAGTCATGGAGACAGCATGGGAATGAAAGATGGGTATAAAAAGAGAGGTGGCAAAAGCTGAAGTTGAAAAGGGAAGCAGTAGCCAGATTCTGTGAGACCTTTTTTGCCAGAATAAGGCATTTGGATTTTATCCTAAGGAAGGGTTATTGAAAGGGAAGTGACATGAACAAACTTGTAGTTTTCAAAGATAAATTTGGCTGAAGTGAGGAGAATGAAGGAAAATAAAAGGAAAACTAGAGCTATATCAATAATCTAGGTATAAAATGATCAAGGCTTGCAGGAAGAGTGATTGTGAGGCCAGAGCAGATGGATGAATTTGAAATAAGATATTTAGGAAGTAGATGCCACAGGATTTATTGCCTAATGGATATGTGTAGGTTACGGCAAGTGAAAATTTTGGGATGACCACTCTGGTATGTGGGTGACTGCTATCATCAAGATGGCAAATGCAAGATGAAAAAGAGGTGGTAGGGAACTGGTGATTGAATTTATGTCGAGTATTATCTCCCTCATGGAACTGCATTAAGTATTCAAGGTAAGGCCATCTTGAACATACCTCACTGGGAAGGAAGCAATGCAATGTCTTTGCAGCATCTCCTTTCTTTAAGAAAGATGACTAAGGACAGCTAAAACAAAAAATGAAACTAGCTTAAACCTCAGTTTTATTGTGTAGACACAATAATGTAACTTTAATTTAGGAGGACCTGCTGTATAGATAATATGTCAAATATTTGAGAAAACGCAGATCACTCACTTCAGAAAAGGTAGTTGGATCAAGCGATCTCTCTTCTTGGGCTAGGCAACCTTCTGCAATTCTGTATGATCGACTTTGTCAAAGTGAGTCTATTAGTCAGAATCCTGCCAAGAAACAGATGGTATACTCAAGGAGTTAAGCTGAAATGATCTTAGGGAAGGGACAATTTATGATGGTGTGTGCAGGGTTAAGGGAACTTACCAGTGATGGTGAAGCATAAAAAGGTTATGAACAGTAAGGGGCTGTTATTACTCTTAAGACCGAAAGGACAAAATAAAGAAACAGTGTTATTGGCACCCAGCAAGAACTACACATCTATAAGAGGGGCTGCCTCACAGGAACTGTTGCTTCAGCTAGCACAATGTAGTCTCTGCCCAAATGCAGCACAGTAAGGAGAGAGAGAGGGGAATGAACACCCATATCTCACTCTCTTTCCACTCTTTGATCTCCTGCTAGTGCCCATCATTAGCCAGACCCAGCTATATGCCAGCTAGCAAACAAGACTGTTGCTATAGCACATTGAGGTCAGACTTCTTTGGCACAGAGCATGGCAGGGAAGGGTGGAGAATGAAGCTTGGAGGTATGAGGGGCCAATGGAAAATAACAGTTCAGTGAGTGCTCTTAGCCACCAGACAATGCCATTGCCCTTTTTCACTGCTTCCCAGGAAGTATATGCTTTGCTTTCCTCCATGGCCCAGATACCTAAACACACTGTGAAATAATTGGACCCTGGAAGGAAGACTGAAGAGGAAGGGGCTAATTTGAAATAACACTTTAAATAACTGCCACCTTGTAGGAGTTAGTTGCAGGTTTAAGTAAGTTGGAATGTTTTCTCCTCTTTTCCAATGAAAGGAAACTGGATTTAAATGAGATTTTTTTTTTTCTTTTCTGTGAATAAACCAGGCCTGTAGGGGCTTATATTCAAAGAGGGATTAGCCCCATGTTCAATTTGAATTTAAATTTCTCCTTGTTTATGTCTGCTTTCTTTCCTTCCAGACCTTGTTTTTACATAGATGTCGGACAAGACTAGGTTCTTTTCCCCATGGCCTAGAGCAAACTGTTAGAAGCTAAGTCTGCGTCTTTGGGCTGCCATTGCACAGAGAGGAAGGAGAGCCCATGGGTCAGGTGGAGGCTGAATGAGTGAAGTGAGAACCTTAGACACACCACAGTTCATCCTATGCCTGGCTGGCTGTCATATTCGTTGCCTGTGCATGCAGGCTGAGTGCCTAACTATAGGTCCATTGTGGCCTTGGAACCACTTAGATCTTGGAGAGGGGGTGAGAAGTAGGAGGTGATTCATCTGGACTAACTCACATTCAATTTAGTATTTCAAAAGGGCCCATTTTGCAAGATAGTCCTTTCAGGAAAGAATGCCAAATGGACAGCAAGTACCCAATTGGCATGCTTTTGTGTCTAGAGGATTAAAATTTCTACACCTGGGCTAGCAAGTGTTAAGTCACTGGAGTATGTCTTCAGTGATGCTGTCTCTAATTAACACCTCAGTACCTCTGCTCTCAGAGGAGTACCTGCCTTCATTAACTTAACAGCTGCTAGCAACTTCTAGGCAGTGGGTTCTGCTTTGTAGGAGCATGTGACCTGAGCCAAGATGGAAAGGTTCTGGTCTCTGGAAAATGAGTTCTGGCTTATGCAAGAGTAGATGGCAATATGAAGTATTGGCTGGATGAGGGCAAACCCTGTGAGGATGAGGGAATGAGGAAGCTTCTGGGAAGCAGAGGCTTTATAAATTTGTTAAACAAGTTGCACTAAGGAAAGGTCCAGCTCCTTCAATATGTGATGGGGACACTTTCTTCAGAGTCTGGAATTCATGCTCTGTAGAAATATTTATATTATCTGTAAAGTAGTTTCAAGATTGTATTTGGTCCCAAGGAAGCCTCGTGATGGGAATAATGGAAGTTTCAAGAAAACTAATACTGAATATATTTTGTAAAAGATGGAAGGCATCCTACTTGGTGACTTGAGGGGAAAGATGTGCTATTTCTAGAATTCACAATCAACCTCCAGCCATACCCAGTAAAGCTTTCTTAGTAGACTGCAGGCAGAACCCTTCCAAAGAGTCATAGCCACCTTGTGCCCATGGTTAAAGAGCATTTTCTGAGCTGGAGTGGGGCTGGAGTTGAAAGATATTCATTACTAGCCTCTCTCTTAGATGTAGAGAAATCCATTTTAAGCTTCATTTTTTTTATCTACTTCTGAGGTTTAGGCTCTCCCAGGGTTGATCTCTTCTCTAAACTTGTCAAACCTCCACTGAGTCCTCAAAGTTAACAGCAAATATACAATTGCTGTGTGTGCACACAAATAACTTAGATTTTCATTATACAGAGCTGCTGATATGATATGCAGAAGTAGGGGGAGACAAAATGCTAGGTTTTGATGGCAATGCTGTATTCTTCTCCTTCCTCCCCCTCCAGAAAGGAGGCCCAAAGAACCGCACTTGGGAGTTGTGCTGGGGTTGGGGGAGCAATCAGGAACAGCCAGCACCCACATGGACAGGACCTGATGTTGGCTCCCTTTCATGTAGTGTCTCTGCTACATTAGAAGAGGTGGTCGAAACTACAGATGAGAAACAAAGCTGGTAGAAAGTTCAAGAGGGAAAAAGGGTAACTAAAGAGATAAATACCAGAACCACTCCAGAGAAACAATGTCTCCTCCCACTGTGGCTTACTAGAATTTCATTTGGGACACCTCAACCTTCTTTCGAAGATATCTTAGTATATTTTGTGCCAAAACACAGCCCTCCTAGGCAACATGGTAAAGTGAAGTCGGTCCAGGCTTTGGAGTCAGACAAATAAAGATTTGAATCTCAGCTCAAACATTTATTAGCTGTGTGTCCTTGGGCAAGGCAGTTAAGTGAGTTTTCTAAAATTCTAAGACATCACTGGCTATTGGCTCCACAATTCTCAGCAACTAAAGAAGGAGTATATCATTCAGTGGCCCCATTCATTTTAATTTGCATTTATTACTCTAACACAGTGAATTTTAATCCTGGTCGACATTAGAATCTGCTGGGAAGCTTCTAAAAAATTGTGATGCTTTTGTCACATCCCAGCTCAACTGAGTCAGAATCGCTAGATGCCATTACACCATACCATCCTCTTTTTATTTTTGGTATCATCTACTGACCCCCTAGTCATCCCTCATTCATAAAGACTTTAGCACCTGGCTCAGTCTCTTTTCTATTTTTATTTCTTTCGTCCTTTTAGAAATTTCAATATCCATGTGGACCACTCTTCCAATTTCTTGGCCTCTAAACTCTTTGACTTCTTTACCTCTGACAATAAATTTTTCTACCCAACCTTTG